CTTCCTGAAACTTGAATTTCTTCTTCAACAAAGAGCATCCAACGACACACAAATCTTGAATCTCCAGCCGATTTCCATGGATAGAACCTAAGCTTTCTTCATCTTCTTAAAACAACAACATCCTCCTCTCTGATTTTCGAATCAAGCTAAAATGTCATGAAATAGTAGCTAAAGCTGCTGCCAGTTCCAGCTTAAATCCAGCCTCTCTAGCCTTTAAAAATCTGTCCAAAAACGCCTAAAAAGATCACCAAACACCACTTCTTCTTCGCAAATTTCAACAAACACTTCAGAGATTCGACAAAAGAGTTTCGCCGTCCTATTTCTGTCCAAGCTCAGTCGAGTTGAATCCGGTCGAGGTCATTGTCGATGCTTTCCATTTGAGATCCTGTTCATGGCCCTGTCCATTTTGAGTGTTAAGGTTGTCCATTGATCAAGGAACAGATTCATTTCAAAGGTCCATTTCTCGCCTTTTATTTCTTGTATTTAATGGGTCATAACTGATTTTGATTTACTTGTGTTTATGTGGTAATAGTAATTTGGATCTGTTTTCTTCGATTTTGGAATTGGTTCGCTGAGGTATCTTCATCGACATGTGATGCTTGCTTTCACTGGTCTTCCCTCATTTTACTTGGTCACTGATTGAAATACTAGTCTCATGTTGGTTGTGTTTTAAGTTTTTTTATGCTCAAACTGACAAAAGAAAGTACTAATCTATGTGAAGCTAATCATGAAAGTTCGAAAAACTGGTAATTACGAATCGGCATGTTCATTTTGATTACTGTTGGTTATATTAAATTTGGAGACATTATAATTACTCAGACTTTTGTGACTTGTGTCAGCACTCTTAAGCCATGAATTGGGTCCTAGTTGAAACTTAATCTATTGCCTAAAATACGCAATGATTTGGAAGTTATGACTATTTGTGTATGATCTTCATGATTGACAAGATTAATATAATTAACTTCCTCGTGAAAAAGTGCCTTTATTTAGTCTTTGGTGTCATTATTGTGAATTGCTATGATTGTTCATTTGTGAGATGGTCAGTTTTAGTTTCATTATGAATAGTGGCAACAAGTGGAATTCTTTTGAGCATTCGGACTTTATTTGTGTCAATATATGATCTTGGGGTGCTTGAGCATGGTTGTCAGTGAAATTGGTATTAAAAGAGTCATGCTAATTCTCTTTAATTAGATTTTATATTTCATTTACAATTGACTTCCACAACCCATGGCCCTTACTTAATTAATGTTAATCCTTTAGAAATCGAGGTGTGCCATTTAGTTGAATTTTTCATGGCCCTCGCACACTTGAAAGTGCGTAGTTGCTTTAGGTGCGTAATTTAAATTAATTTCCTTAAACTCGGGTGTGCATTTCATGTGACCCAACTCCAATCCTCAACAACGTTAAATAAAATATGTCATGAATCGCGGGTGCATTTCATGTGGCGTGGTTCAAGGCGTATTTTAAATAATATTGAATCTTCCTAAAAGCGTTTCAAAATAATTGAAAGCGGTTAATAAGTTAAAAATGCACAATAGGTTTAAAACATGTAGTAAGTGAGATAATAGGCCAATTATGATAGTTTAAGCGACCGTGCTAGAACCACGGAATCCGGAGGTGTCTAACACCTTCCCTCGGGTTAACAGAATATCTTATTCAGAATTTCTGGTTCGCAGACTTCAAAAGGAAAGTTGAAATTTCCTCGATTTGGGATCTAAAATAAACCGGTGACTTGGAACACCAATTAAAATATTTCAAGTGGCGACTCTTAAAAAAATAATAATCCCATTTCGATTGTCACTTAAATTGGAACAAACTTCCTTATACTCCCTTTCGGGGTATTAAAAAAGAAGGTGTGACATATATCAATGTTAGTGTGGATTCTTAGTTCGAATTAGTTGGCCTTGGATGCGAATAGAAGCGCACAGGTTAGCGATAATGTAAGTGTGTTCGTCCAGGAAGTTAATTAAGATTCAAGGGGAATTCGCATTTTGGTGAAGTATTTACTGGCTATGGGATTGACAATGTTGTATAGTCGATGGGAATTAGGAGTTAGTTTCTCAGCAAGGATGTTGAATGTTTAGGCTAATTGATTAAAAAATGAAAATGGGGGTACATGAGGTGACAAGGCTCTATCATACTTTAATCCATCTATCTCCTTAATTTGTTTCGTTGCGCCACTGTTTACTTTTTAATCTACCCTTCCATGTTATTTAACTTGACATAAGTTTGTCTTGAATGAATTATTTTGAAAGACTGTTGGGACGTGGGAGTGGGAATGACCAAGACCCATTAGTAAGTAATCGTTTCATGTTTTAGGATCAGGCTTGGTCAAATACATTAAATAAGAAGATAAAACAAAGTGAATGAGCATGAAATTGCTTTTTTATTTCTTTTACTTTTATTATCTTGTCTGCTAGGAGCATGCTTAGGCAGACCATATTTGGGCAGGCAAATCTTTAGGGTGTTTGTGTTTTAGTTTCGTCGAGGCGAGAGGTTGTCCCTTTAGTTGATTATATTATCCAAGGGATGCCCCGTAGTACTTTGTAAATATTCTGGAGGTCGTGACGAGTTTGTGAAGGAAGCATGGTGTAGTATTTTATTTTTATTATTATTTTTGTTTTAATTTTTCTTTTAGGCGGGGACAACCTCGAACCTTCTTGTGTTTTTCTTCTTTTATGTGTTTTTTCCTCAACTTGAATATTTTAAGAGCCAACTAGATCGGGTAGTGATTTTCACGGGACTCGGGGAATGCCTAACATCTTCTCCCCGAGCCAAATGAACCCCCTTACCCAAATCTCTGGTGCAAACTCTGTTTTGGAGTCCAAAGTATTTTTAAAAGGAAAAACAATTTCTAGAAAAATGGTGACCTGACACACCGAAATCAAATGTCAGGTGGCGATTTTGAAAAGTCCTTTTGAATATAATATTTTGTCACTTTTCTAATTAAAAACCCTTTTGAGCTTTACAAATTACTTTATCTACTTTAAATGGGTTAGTGAAGAGGAAAAAAGGGGGTGTGACACACCCGGCTCAAACCAACCAACTGGAGATCTACACCGTTTCCCAGACAAAGCCTCATAAGGAGCCATCTGAATACTCGACTAATAATTGTTGTTGTAAGCAAACTCTGCGAGCGGTAGAAACTGATCTCATGACCCTCCGAAATCAATAACACAAGCACACAATATGTCCTCCAATATCTAAATAGGGATCTCGGACTGCCCGTCCGTCTGAGGGTGAAAAGTTGTGTTCAACTCAACCTGAGTACCCAACTCTCGCTGCACAGACCTCCAATATTGTAAAGTAAACTGAGTGTCCCTATCTGAAATGATGGAAACTGGGACACCATGCAAACGAACAATCTCTCGGATATAGATCTCTTTCAACCACTCTGAAGAATAGGTAGTACACATAGGAATGAAGTGCGCGGACTTGGTCAGCCGATCCATAATCACCCAAATAGCATCGAACCTTTTCAAAGTCCGTGGGAGCCCAACTTCAAAGTCCATGGTGATCCGCTCTCACTTCCACTCTGGAATATTCATCTGCTGAAGCAAGCCACTCGGTCTCTGATGCTCATATTTCACCTGCTGACAATTGAGACATCGAGCTACAAATCCCACAATATCCTTCTTCATTATCCTCTACTAATAATGTTGTCTCAGATCCTGATACATCTCCGCGGCACCCAGATGAATGGAATACCGGGAGCTATGGGCCTCCTCTAAAATCCTTTCCCGAATCCCATCTACATTGGGCACACATATCCGGCCATGCATACTCAACACCACGTCATTACCAATAGTCACATCTTTGGCATCATCGTGCTGAACTCTATCCTTAAGGACAAGCAAATGAGGATCATCACATGATCAAATAAGGAAGACCGAGAAATCACACAAGCCAATACCCGACTGTGCTACGAAATATCTAACCTCACGAACCGATTGTCCAAGCCCTGAACATCAACTGCAAAAGGTCTCTCCACAACTAGAATATATTCCAAACTCCCCATACTCACCGCCTTCATACTCAAGGCATCAGCCACCACATTGGCCTTCCCCGGATGGTACAAAATAGTAATATCATAGTCCTTTAGCAGCTCTAACCATCGTCGTTGCCTCAAATTGAGATCCTTCTGCTTGAACAACTGTTGGAGGCTACGATGATCAGTAAACACCTCACAAGACACATCATACAAATGATGCCTCCAAATCTTCAACGCGTGAACAATGGCAGCCAACTCCAAATTATGAATAGGGTAGTTCTTCTCATGGGGATTCAACTGGCGAGAAGCATACGCAAAAACTCTACCCTCCTGTATCAACACATACCCAATACTAACTCTCGAAGCATCACAATACACGGTATATGAACCTAAAGCTGATGGCAAAACTAACACTGAAGCTGTGGTCAAGGCAGTCTTGAGCTTCTGAAAGCTCTCCTCACACTCATCCGACCACATAAATGGAGCACCCTTTTGAGTCAACTTGGTCAAGGGTGATGTGATAGATGAAAATCCCTGAACAAATCGACTGTAATAACCCGCCAAACCAAGAAATCTGTGAATCGCTATGGCTGAGGATGGTCTGGGCCAACTCTGAACCACTTCTATCTTTATTGGATCAACCTGAATACCCTCGCTGGACACCACGTGCCCCAAGAAAGCCACTGAACTGAGCCAAAACTCACACTTGGAGAACTTTGCATAAAACTTCTCCTCCCTTAATCTCTGCAACACAACTCTCAAATGCTCCGCGTACTCCTCCTGACTACGCGAGTATACCAGAATATCATCAATGAAAACTTTGACAAACGAGTGGAGATAAGGCCGAAACATGGTGTTCATCAAATGCATGAACGCTGCTAGGCATTGGTCAGTCCAAAAGACATCACCAGGAACTCATAATGACCATATCGGGTCCTGAAAGTTGTCTTAAGAATGTTCGAGTCCCTGATCTTCAACTGGTGATAACCTGAACGGAGATCAATCTTGGGTAACACTCTCGCTCCCTGAAGCTGGTCAAACAAATCATAGATACGAGGCAAAGGATACTTGTTCTGGATTGTTACTTTGTTAAACTGCCTGTAATCAATGCACATCCTCATCGTGTTATCCTTATTCTTCACAAATAGAACAGGCGCACCCCAAGGCGACACACTAAGCCGAATAAACCCCTTATCAAGGAGTTCTTGAAGCTACTTCTTCAACTCATTCAACTCCGCTGGTGCCATACGATACGATGGAATAGAAATGGGTTGAGTGCCTGGCACCAGATCAATACCAAAATAAATATCCATGTCCAGTGGCATGCCCGGCTGGTCTGCAGGAAACACATCGGGAAAATCCCTCACAACAGGGACAGAATCAATACTAGGAGTCTCTACACCGACATCCCTCACAAAGGCTAAGTATGAAAGACAACCCTTCCCAATCATAAGCTGGGCCTT